TATTGATCCAATTTGCCGTGCCTTAAGTCAAAAATATAATAAAAATTTTAGCTTGAACAGTCGAAACTGTAAAAACGTCCTGAAGTTAGTTGCAAACAATATAAAAGAAGAAATAAAAACGGAGCTGAAGCATCGTTTAGTATCACTAAAAATAGATAGTGCCACTCGCCTATCACGAAATATATTCGCTCTTAGTGCACAGTATATTAATAACTATAAAATTCAGTCAAAAATTCTCCGTATGGTGGAGCTTAAAGGAGCTGGATCAAGTTCTTCTCGAAATATTGCGACTGAAATAATTAACATTTTAAACAGATATGGTGTCAGTTTAAACCAAATAGTGTCCATTACATCGGATAATGGAAACAATATGATTAAATCTTCCAAGCTACTATCACATTGTACCATATTTAAAGAAGATAACGACGATATTGAAGAATCAAATGACATATATTTACAAAATATTGAACTTTTCAATGACACAAAAAATATTCAACTGGGAGACATTGAAATCTGTCGTTGTGCAGCACATACAGCTCAACTCTGTGCATTAGATGTTTCTAAGGATTCCACCGTAAAAACTTCTATAATAAACTGCCGAAATTTAACAAAATATATTAAAAAAAAATTCAAATGGTTATCGCGAAATTTTTGAACTAAAAAAATTAACACTACCTCAACTGGATTGCCCAACGAGATGGGGATCAGCCTATAATATGATTAAAAATATTTATAATGCTAAAGAAGTACTAGCTAACATTGAGTCAATCAAAAATAAATCGGAAGATGAAAATTTCGAATTAAATGATGATTTTTGGGCGTTCATAAAAAGTTATTATACAATTTTTGAACCACTTCAGCAAACTATTATCAAATTTCAAGAAGAAGAACTCAATTATGGGAGTTTCTATGCCCAATGGCTGAAATGCAAATTTTTGACTGAGAAAAATTTGCAAACATCAAGTGATCCTTGGTCTCAGAAAATCGGGAGTAGTCTTCTACGCAGCATTGAAAGAAGAACGTCCAAGCTGCTAGCAAATGAAAGTTTTAACGCTTGCTTATTTTTGGATCCACGATTTAGTCACAAACTTACAGCAAATAAAAGGTCAGATGCAATAACCTATTTAAAAAAACTGTATGAAAAGTTAAAAGAAACAGGATCCATTAAGTGCGATAGAGTAAATTCCTTCCCTAATACTTCCACCACACTCGACGTAGAAGATTTTGATGATGGGGATCAATATGTTAATGACTACCTTAGCCAAAACTTGGAGGACACAAATGAAGATTCCATAGATGTGTACAGCAAAATTGAAAATTTGAAGTTACCTTTTCAAAAAGTCAACACAAACGTACTGGAATTCTGGAGGGAAAGGGAGTTCGCTGATCCGGAACTATATTTGCTGAGTACAATTTGCTTTGCCATACCTCCAACGCAGGTAATTACACAGTCATGATTAAAAAATTGTAAATTTCCTGATAGACATGACAGCAGATTTTATACATATATTACCTTTAAGAATGTGATGGTAAATTGCGATTTAAATAATGAGCAGCTGATATTTACTATCACGTTCTTACACTAAACCAAAAATGTACATGTTTTCTAAGAAAAATTTCATTAAAATCTCTCCAAAAACCGTTTTTCATAGAATTTAAAGAATATTTCTTAGAATATAAATATTTTTTCTTAAAATCTATGAACCCATTCTTACCCCCTTATTCATAAAAAATAAAACAGGTTTATAAGGCTGATATAATTGAAAATTTGTATGGAAATGTCACTTTAAAAGGCTTTATAAACCTTCAATATTTTTTATGAATAAGGGGGTAAGAATATAAGAAAAAATATATATATTCTTAGAAATATTTTTTAAATTCTATGAAAACCGGTTGTTGGAGAGGTTTTTATGAAATTTTTGGTTCAGTGTACATGCAATATGTAATATACATATCTACTCGTATTAATTTAATAATCCACTATCTGCATCTACGTTTCCCTAGGTAACGATCGAAAGAGCATTTTCGTCTCTAAAATTGATACTAGCTGATAACCGCAACCGACTGAGCCATCATACATTGGAGAACATCTTAATTGTGAAGTTAAATTCAGTATACCTAGACAAAGCAATTAATGAATTACCGCTTTTTGAAGATATGGAAAAATAAAATTTTTAACTATGTATTAGAGCACTAAGGGTTTTTAAAATAAAGAATTTGGAGTTGTTTTTAATAGCTGCTTTAATTTTTTTTTACATATAAGCATATGCCCTTATTATATTTTTCGTGTTTGATATGTATCGAGTGGATACTATCGACCCATGTACGGCTGAGAATAAAATTAATTTCTAATGAACACCCTAATAAACGTGCAAATAAGCATAATCGGGCATATTTTTTTTTTTTGGATTTGCTCAACTTATCAACGTTGAGAAGATTGCATCGGGCATATTTATAGTCAAAATAAAATATGATTTTAAGTTAGTTGAAGCATTTTTGACAGCTAGCACGTAGAAAATTGTGCCAAAAAGCTTAAAACTATATTTTATCTTGACTATGGATATGCTGCATTACGTATATATTTACATTGTACTTACATACCCACATATGTATGTATGAACATTAGGGTAATGCTGAAAAATTAATCCTCACAAAA